TCCCATCTTCCCTCCCTCCCTCCTCCCTCCTCCCTCTTCGCAAGTTCGACTCCGTCCTGTCGTCGCTCTTTGGCATGCGGTTAGCGTTGCGTATCTTGCGGCCGCACTCGCTCACTCTCACTCTCACTCTCTCACTGTCTCACTGTCTCTCTCATCTCTCTCATCTCTCTCATCTCTCTCATCTCTCTCATCTCTCTCTCCTCTCTCTCTCCTCTCTCTCTCTCTCTCTCCTCTCTGTCTCTCGTCTTTCCGTCTCTCTTCTCTCTCTTCTCTCGCAGGAGGATCCGGGCAAAGAGCCACATATAAAGGACTCTTCACCCCTGCCTCCAAAAAGAGCGCCGTGTTTTTTCCTACCTCGCTGCCCTCCACTTTCCCATTCTGGAGCGCTAGCTTTCGCCCCCCCGTTGGCCTCAAGTTTTTTTGGAGCGCTCACTTTTGAAGTGGGAACCGTGGGAGGAGTACCAGTCAGAAGCAGACCAGCTTCGTGCTGCTGAAGCGATGCGACTGGCAGAGATGTTCCAAATGGCAAAGGCGTCACATTTCCTGTGTATTGACTTGATATGAATGGATACATAATGATACATATGGATACTGCACTGTGATTCAACTATTTACCCTCTGTATGTGTACACACTTGACAGGAGCTAGATGCACTAAGCGCAGAAGCTGATTGTTTGCGCACAGACGAAACAAGTCAACTCGCAGAGATATTGGAGATTTTTCAGGAGGCTTGTTTTGATCCAACGTGGGCTGAAACTTAGGGCAGTTTGCCTCAGTCGTCGAGTCATCACAACAGATGAGGCGTTGCAATGATGAGCTTTCATAAACCTTCTGCTGTAAATTAGGAATTCAGACGATCAGATTTTGAGAGCCGTCTCTACACCAATAGCACGGTCTACAGTCTAGAGTCTAGGGCGCTAATGTTTGAGGTGATTTTCTCGTTAAACGGCCTCTTGTTCTGGGCCGGTTGAGGTGGAGTAGGGGAGCATTCCACACCAATTGTAATTGCATGGCATGGTTTGCCCCGCAAGATCCAGGTGTTGGCTCCCTGTTGTTGTTCATTTTGGATGGGAGGTCATACAAATACTTGTTTGAGAATGGTTGCCAAGTCCTGCATATGTTCAGAATGAACTTACCAAAGGCCTTCCAACCACATATATTCATAGAAACACAAAAGCACAAGCGGCAATGATTGTGTGAGCCCCTCCAATTCGCCAATGCATCACTATAGACAAGACAGGAGAAAACGGGAAAGCAAAAGGAAAGGAAAGCAAAGCAAAGGATAGCAATGATTTTAAGGAAAGGAAAGGAAAGGAAGGGAAAGCAAAGAAAATGAATAGAAAAGGAAAAGCAGGGGGAAGGAATGCAATTTGTGAATGTGCTTTTTCCATGCCGTCTAAAAAGCATATTGGAAAGAAAAGAAGAGAAACAAACAACATAAAAGGAAAGAAAAGGGACAAGGACATGTGACATGAACAAATAAAACAATTTGTGAATGCGCCCTGAAGCCGAGCCGCGCCAGTTACATGCTGTATGGGCATTCCAGTGGGGGACTGCTGCTCTGAACCTCCAAGACCTTAGTCTGAGAAGAACGTCACAAAGCGCTTTGCTGATTGACCTCGGAACAGAGCGGAACGGTTCGTTTTTTCCTGTTCAACTGTGTTTGGAAAATTGACGGCTGTTTACAATCGGTTCATGACAAGCTTCGGCTCTTGACATTCGCTAACTTTCGGTTCCGGATCGATTCGGGACCCTTCCTGAAACCAAAATTTCCAAACAAAGTGCATAAAGGCCTGCAAACATTTTTAAAAAGATAGACCACAACATACACAACCTATGGAGAAATCCGCGATCGGCTTCATATATGTTTAATCATGCCTAAAGTTACTCAAAGATAAGATTCCAAGGACTTATGTTCGAGGTAAAAAATCCAATTCCGGTGTGTCGCAGCTTTCAAGTCTTTTTCGATACTTAGCTACTGGCTACCCCCAAAATTATGTGCAAAAAGTACTCTTCAGGCTATATATATATATATACTACATTATATAAATAGATGCCGCGAACGTAGACCGTGGGCTACCAGAAGAATTATTTCAAGACGTTTTGCCAGATGCGCAGTGAAGGGTTCTCGATTAACTCTGGGGGTATTAAAACTGGGGGTCTCGGGATGCGCCGTGTTCGCGTGACGTTGCAACCGCGTGAATGTTATGAAAATGGTGCCCCCGTTGGGGAAAGCTTTTGGAGGAGATTCTTGGATGGATGCATGAAGTGTCAGATTCGTGTGCGGGATGTTTGCTGCGTGCAGTGTTTCGTGGCGGTCTAACGGTGGTGTTTTGGAGGTGTTTCAACGTCGCTGTGCCACGGAGAAGTGCCTTGAAAGCACTTGCCTCCAAGGTGTGTTTCAGGGACGAGTCTCAGGAAAACATTGCAATCTTGAGGGATCTGGGTGAAACAGCAATGTGTTGATATCATTCCCAGCGCGTGGTGCGGTGAAAAATTTGCTAGACAATGTCAAAGTGTGGCTTAGTCAGGTTCGATCAGTTTCATGGCAGTCACATGAAGCACTGTGTTTGCTTGTTGACAATATTGAACTGCAGCGCTTCTGGATCAAAAAATCACCACTTTGTAAGAGGCTTAGCCTAGCCGATGCTGTTGTGGCACAAGTACTGTAAGCCCTGGCATGCCGTCGCAGGAGCGAGAAGGACTGCATGCTGAAGCGAAGAAGCTGCACGCAGAGGTGGATGAACTTCGATCAGCACGCCTGGACAACGAGAATCGCCTGGTTGAGACGACTTCGATGGCCGAGGATACTGTTTCTTTGTTGAGTTCTTTGTTCGTTGGCCAACTCGCAGATCGTCACTGAAGACCTGTTGCATGTCCTGAATCGTTGTGGAAATTTGCTGTATCATACAGACATACAGAGCGCAGAGCAAAATCTTCCATTAGTTTGTGACCGCTGCTGTAAGGCAGCCCAATTGAGACTTGCGACCTGAAAAGTGCATTGTTTTGTTTGGTTTGGAAAGGTGTGCGATATGGTGGTATGTGGGCCACAAGAGGCGGTGGTACCAAAAACATGCAAAAACAATGTTCCCGCCCAAACCATCCGAAACTTGATCAAATGTTGCGGGTGAATGGGTCATGTTGAAGGAGCGGATATTTTTCACAAGGTCAATGGCCGCGTGCTCGTGCAGAGGCGTTCCCTCCCTCCCATTGGCCCTAAGACAAAGTATAACAATAAACAAGAACAACAATTGTGTTTTTGTGCATCAATGTGAGGCATTTTTGGCAACAAACATTTATTTATTATATAGATTGCCCTCTTGCTCGGATTGGCAGTTTTTCGAGTTTGTGCCAGGTCATTACTGAGCGTTTTGCCCCTGGTTCGAATGGCCAAAGATATTCGCTGAGTGTGGTCCTTTATTTTTGGGATCAAGCCTTTAGTCAAACCATATTCAGTCAATCGGATTGGTTGAGCCTGAGCAACCTCTGACAGATATATAATATAGAGTGCATTCTAGGCATAGGAGCCACATAGACGAGCGCTCTTTGGGTTCTTTGCGCCTGTAGAGCTCGAGGAGCACATTGCAGATCCACATGGCCAACGTCTGGCAGAGCTGTCCCAGATTGCCCAGGCGAACACGTCGATATAATTACGGCATGGCTGGAAGTTGGGAACAGGCAATCAGCAAATCTTCGCTGAGTTTGTCTTGCGTAAGAGTCAGTAGTATTCAAAGCTTGGGGTGCCGATAGGTTCATCTGAGCCTGAGCCCCACTTCTCCGAAGGGCGTGGCCACAGGTTCAGTTTATCACTGGTTACGGCTGAATCCAGACCTCAATTTGACAAGTTGGAAATGTTGATCAAAGCTGAACATACCACCGTACATAGACTGTTGACGATATAGACCAGTTCCTTGCTGGCCTAGTTTCCCTTTCCTTTAGTTGGTTTGTTGGGTTCCCCTGTCTTGTTTTTTAGGAGCGCTCGCTTTTGAAGCGGGAACCGTGGGAGGAGTACCAGTCAGAAGCAGACCAGCTTCGTGCTGCTGAAGCGATGCGACTGGCAGAGATGTGCCAAATGGCAAAGGCGTCACATTTCCTGTGTATTGACTGGATCCTGCACTGCATCGTACAACTTGTTGGCGATTGCCAGGTTCTGCTTTGTCATTGGCGACCCCCAAGTGGTCACAGATTCGTTTGCCGTGTTTCCACAATCAGAATTCTTTTACTTTTGCGTCGTCCTTGACATTAGCTCCAGGAGCTGGAAGAATGCAGAGCAGAAGCAGACTTGCTTCGTGCTGCGGAAGCAATGCGCTTGGTGCAGATGAAGGAACACAATCACTTGACAGAGCACAGGTCAACGCGTGATGTCACACCCCATGATGGATCATGGAAATGAAATGCATTTAACGTTGTTGTTACAGAGAATGCTTACCTGATTGCCGGATTGCAGTTTGATAGCCTCAGCATGCATTTGCTTGCTTCGTTGGACTGGTCACGGCTGGCCCTTCTTGTTAGGAGCTGGAGGAACAAAGAGCAAACACGGAATTGTCCAAGGCAAGGGTGTGAGCGAATTACATCCTGGTTTGTCCGAGGCCCGTAGGAGCGCCAGGGGAAAGCCATGTGGTCATTCAGTATCCAAGATTGCCTCCCCAGCTCAAATATATGATAGTTTGTCTCAGTTTTCATGGTTGTGTTTGCCCTTTGTCCTGGTCTACTTGGTACTTGAGAATCAACGCCCTTGTTTGCTGGACGGGGCTGATTTCAACGCGGATAAGCATGCAGCAGCAGAAGGATGCCTGGCAGCAAAGGCTGTTTTCTCCTATTCACCACGAGATGCGACCCTTAACCAGACTGGGGTGTTGCATGAGTACAATGCACCTATGCACGCAATCCATGAGGAGTTGCAGGGATTCAAGTGGAATGCAGAGCCAGCATACCCCTGTTGCCGGGAGTGCAATTGTATGTGTGTGTTTTTAGAAAGGCATATATACATGCATATTTTTTTGTTTGTTTAAAGAACTCTTCCGATTTGTACTCTATATATGTACAACTCCGTGCAACGCAGGGACAGCTGCCAGCCTGGTGGTACAGTGACTTGACTCATTGTCCGGTGCGACGTCTGTACGCATGACTCCCCAATGAGGTGTGTACTGGGTACTGCGCAAAATCCGCAGGGTGGTTGGACGAGTGACAAATGGCAGGAACGTGATATGCTTTGCTCAGATGCGGAGCACTTGCGCCTGCTTTTGAAGGCATCCCAGGAGGTCTGGGCAATGGGTTTCATGATGTTCACTGGGAAAAATCATCAAACAGGCAAGAAGGTCTAGACAGTCTAGGGAGAGAGAAGGCTGAGAGGGACGGAGGGAGGGAGGGAGGGAGGGAGAGGAGAAAGAAAAAGATAAGAAAGAATCCCGATGTTTTCGTCAACTGAGAAGTGTCCTTGCGATTATCGCTGCAAATTCGCACCTAGATGGCCTTGCACCTGTACTGTGCGTGTGAAATGTCCATCCAACGATGTTCACAAACCGGAGACATCAGCTGCTGAAGGAGCTTTCAGCGCAGAAAGAAGAGGCACAGCAGTGATTCAGCTGTTCAACGCACCTTTGTGATGCGTACTGTCTTATTCCAGTCCACATTCTGTCCTATTTTGCTGACTTTGATTGATGCACACGAACGCTTTCGGCTGCGTGGCGTAGTTTGCCAGAACACGGAGGTGAAGCAATTGAAATTCAAACAGGACCACGTTGATGCTCCAGAGGCTCTGAAGAGGGTGGCCACAGTTTTCTCTTGGGGTGAGGAAGGATAGGAAGATAAGTAAGAAGGTAAGTCAACTGAGCCAGAAAAAAAAGGTGGATTGATGTAAAGTCACGAAAGGTAGCTTGAGCTACCTGAGTTCTCCTTGCTTTAGCAAAAATGTATTACAATCAGGAGTTGGGATTGTGCATTGAGTTTGGTCCTGTAAGAGTTGATTCTGTTCGTCTGGGGGGGGGGGCCCCCCCCCCCTGGATCAAATCCCCCCTGCGCCGGTTCACGCCGTCATGGACTTCTACCAGGGTTACTTGTGATTGCCTGCTACCTTTCGTTCACCCCCTCCTCTCTCAAGTAGTATTGTGGGATCCTTCGTTCAGAATTCCACGCACCGCCGCAGCTAGCTATTTCTGATGTTTTCTGTCTTTGTGGAATGTATTATTTAGTTGGGGAACGACCCTCCGGACGACATCCAAAACGACATTGGAACGACCTCCTTAACCACGTACATCATGTATTTGCTGCTGCTGCTCTTGCTCCTCTTGCTCCTCCTGCTCGTGCTGTTGCTCCTGCTCCTCCTGCTGCTCCTGCTCCTTCTGCTGCTCCCGCTCCTCCTGCTCCTCCTGCTGCTGCTGCTGCTGGTGCACTTTCGATGGACAATATTTAGCCAGATTTCTCGGCGAAAAAACGACCTCCGACGACCTCTGAACGACGTCCGCATTTCAGTCAGAATGACCACTACTACTGACTTCTTCTTCTTCTTCTACTACTACTACTACTACTACTCCGGCTGCTGCTGCTGCTACTACTCCTGCTGCTGCTGCTACTACTACTGCTGCTGCTGCTGCTGCTACAACTAGTACTACTACTACCACTGCCACTACCACTACCACCACCACTACCACTACCACTACCACTACTACTACTACTACTCCTTCTGCTACTGCTACTGCTACTGCTACCTACTGCCCACTACCTACTAACTACTAACTACTAACTACTACTACTCCTCCTCCTCCACTTCCTCCTACTCCTACTCCTACCCCGACTCCTTTGTACTCCTATTCCGACTGCTGCTGCTGCTGCTACTGCTGTGTTTTTTTGTTATTGGTACTACTACTACCGCTACTACCATGGTTGCCGCCATCACCACATATGAAGACCCCCGGTTGTAAATCATACGATTTGCTGTTAGGATCATGATTTTCGTACCATGTTTTTACCTCAACTGTTAACTACTCGTAGCCAAAAAGATGCTAGGCGATGTATGATAGTTCCTTGAAACAAGAAGCTACTTGGGGCTCCTGGCCTTACTAGTAGGAGCAAGGACGCTACTAGGGGCTCCTGGCATCGCTACTAGGAGCAAGGACGCTAC